TTAAGAATTGGGCGGTAAATCTGTTGAATTTAAAAAGAAAATAGCGGTAAATAGAAGTACCGCGGCGAAAATCTAAATTCCCCATTAACACCACCTTATATAAATTCGCCTTGGAACCATATTTTAAGCATATCGGTTCGTGATTCCTGGAAGAAATTAAAATTTTTTTTTATGAATTTCTCTATTAAACGAAGAGGTAACTCTCCATCTAGTGAAAGGAAATTTAAAAAGATGTTTTAATCATAGTCTGGCGTTTTTCGCATCATCGCTGCTTTGGTGTAAATCACAGTAATTGAAGAGCGGTCACTTTATCTTGTCTAAATCCAGTAACAAATGCTTGATTTCAAGCCCCAGTGTTTACCTGTGGCTCACTTCTATAAGTAGTTACAGACAGAGAACATCCCTACTATCTATGGCGGTGGTGGGCATCAGCTTGTCCGCGGACAAAGCTCTTTCAAGCTTTATATACTAACAGATCTATTCTTGCACGTTACCGCAGATTTTGTAACCGGAAAATTGTATTACCAAAAAATTTTACCAGTTCTTGTCAACGTGATTCTAGGTACGTTGGTAATGCAGTTAAATATTCAGCAATTCAGCTACGAAGATTTGTGGAAATTCTGACATAGCGCCTACTGAGGGCAGAAGAAGGCGCTGTTTGACCAAAAACTCGACACCGAACTTGAGCACAAATACATGGAAGCTGTAGTAGATGTCACAAGGTCCTAAAATCTTCTATTTTTGTCTTGTCTGTCACAATTTTGGCGGTGATGTCAGCCTTTCCACTCACGAGGGCAACAACCTGCTGGGGAGAGGCACATTCCCCATTAAAAAACTGGTAATTCGACGTGCATACCCTCAGATATGTACAAATGTTTGCCGGGGAAGTCAACAAAAGTAGAGGATCTCATCCAAGGCTTCTTGTCTCTTTTCACTTGTAGTGTTTTTCTAGCACATTTACGTATTTAGCAAACCGCTTGTCTTAAAGACAGAAATGCAACTGCAGTTACACTTCATAGTGAACAGACGCATCAGACTTCAGTTTGTTAGCTGGTCACGAGGTCGTATTGAAATAATAAAATACACTGAAAAATAGTGATCCTATAATTAGATAAACTAATATGTATTTAATATGAGTACGTATTATAAGAATAACTTTGAAACTAAATGGCACAAATGTTTTATGTGGGCAAGTAGTAGGAACGTGAACCGTATGA